CCCCGCCGACGGCCCCGCCCCGACCCCGGGACGCCTGCCTCTGCCCGCGCTGCCCGCGACCGGCCCGACCGGGCGCGCCCATGGTCTCGCCTGTCTCCCTTAGCCCCGCCGGCCCCGCCAGCGGGCCGGGAACCCCTTGCCTTGGGCCTGTGTCCTGGTGTCCAGGTCGGCTGCCGGGCTGAGTCTGCGGGCGCAAAGGGAGCTGGCACTCTGCTCTGAGCGGGAAGGGGAAAGCGCTCACTGGAGGGTTTATCCAGCGAGCGGAAGGTGGGGAGAGAGACACACTGGTCACTTTAGAGCGGCTTCTGATTAAATTCTCCCAGGCTGGTTTCTATTTTGTTAAAATTTGATAGTTTCTTCCTTTCTTAACTGGTTTATTATCACCGTCCTGCTTCGATCCCACATTTCCACCGCGGGCTGAGCTGAGGGGTGAAAGAACAGCAATAGGCAGTAATCGCAATGTTTATTTCACTGAGAAACACTTAAAGATGGTCATCTGGATTAAATTCAGTTGTCTGTTGTCAGTATAGATGACCAAAAAAAAAAAAAGGCACCTCAAAAGGAGAGTACCTTATAAAAACCACGTTTTCTCATGCTTCATTTGTATTGTTGAACACAAAAATAAAATAAACGTAAGTAATTACTTTTCATATCATCCACTAATCCAACGATTTACTGATGCTCCAAGTTGGAATTCAAATAGGTATTTTAAAAGTGGGGTGTGTTCTTGAAAGAGAGTCAAATGTTTGTGATCAAGATTGTTTCTGTCATGTCTTCCTGCCAGTCTGGTAAAACACTTAACAACCCTCATTCCCCCAAATACCCCCCAAATCCATAACCAGTGTCTCTATATCTATTTTCAGTTACGAGAATAACTTCGATTATTGAGAAGTAGTTAAACACATACTCAACGGTTTCCTTGTTTTTAGTGTAATAGATTTTTTATTATTTTACAAATGTTTTAAACCTAGTGATTAAGACTTTTTCAATATTTCAAAGTTCACATAAGCATGCATTTTAAGTCAACTTTAACATTTGCTGAGGCTGATGTTAATACTTAAAATTATACTTACTATTTCTCCTGTGCAAATTGATAAATTTGTCGAAATGCTGTAGAGTGAAATAAGTATTTTTAAAATGTAAAAACTCATGTAACTGACCAAAAAAGTGAGTAGTTTGAGAGAGTAATTGTCTGAAAAAGCAATAAAATGTATCAAGGTAGAAGAATGGTGCTTATTAATGTATGATATTCTAATACGTCTTCATATTAATACCATCAGGAGCATTTAGTACATGCTATATAAGTAAGTATTAAATTAATTGCATTATGCATTTTGATAACAGACATGGAATATAACTGTTTTTAGAAGTTAAGTCACTTCAAATATACCATTGTGAAAACTAGCTAATACTTTGAAATATTTAGAAATAAAATACTGAAACATGATGTTTCATTAACACAGAAATACAGAAGAAATAAAATTATCTTGTAAATAACTATTTAGTTTTCTCATGATAGCATTACCTACCATAGTTTTTAACATTTCTATACTCTTTAAGAAAAAATATTATGTGTGGAAAATTAAAAATACATTTTAATTCTCACAAGACAATAACTAATATACCTGGTAGAATGTTATAAATTAATGACTGGCTAAAGAGTAATATGGGAATTACACATTATGTTCATGTTATTATAGTAAACAAAGTTTAGAAAGCCCAGTAGTTTACAAAATTATGATGTATAACTAGTATAGAGTCAATATTCATATATCACGTTTCTTTATTCTCGGTTTCATACTAATACATTTTAAAATTTTTTGTAGTATTTTAATTAAAAATACCAAATATAATATTGGGGTTTTAGCATATCTTTCCCTTAGATAGTGGTATAAGCTATTTATTGCACCATTCGTTTAGATAATTAACTATCTTAAGTTATAAAGTAATAATTATGTAAAAATTAGATCCACATTAAACTGTTAGAAATGTGTTCAAACTTTTCATGTAACATTTGGAAATAAAACTTTCCTTTTTCAGTACTTCTTCTGGATTCTAAAGCACAACAGACAGAGTTGGAATGGATTTCTTCTCCACCCAATGGGGTAAGTGCTTCTCCTCCTAAATATCATCAGTTATTTAAGTAAGTAACAAAATCTCCTTCTCCTAGCTCCAGGGAGTTGTTCACAGTCATTATATTTAAACTGTTTTAATTCCAAATATATCAATCAATATTTTGTAGTGTTTATAATGAGACACTGTATTATCTGAATAGAGAGGTATACTTAGGACTTGGGGAAAGAAAAAAAAAATCCCTATAACCATAGTTTTTTCTGTTCTTATTGTGAGTGGATTCATATCTCAGGGTCCAAGATATAAAGACAAACTAATTACAGGGAACACCCCTTTCACAAATTCACTTAAATGTCTTTAGTTGCTTTATACTTCTGTAGTATAATCACCAGGTAGGTTGTGTGCAATTTTTAAAAACAGTATGTAATCTGTTTTCTTCTTTAAAAAGCACTTTCAGCATTATTCAATATATACTTTCAAAGGTAACTAAAAATGTAATGTGTTCAACATTTTGCTATTACGAGGTTATTTGACTTGTCTGAATTTATATCATGTGCTATCTGCTGTTATTAATCAAGAGTGATGGCAGAGATTGCATAGATTACAGTAAAAATCTGCTACTATAAATATGAGTGATAACTGTCCAACGAAAGTCTATCAAAATATGTCATCTCTACAAAAAGGTGGGTCATTATATTTTATATATTCAGGCAGATATATTACTTAAATTTAGTTCAATATCCACGTCTTCAGGTCTTAGTTTTAATTGTGAGAAAGGGCACGTCCTTCATCATTATGAAGGAAGAAGGCTCTGAGAAAGGAGAATTGATCCATTATTACTTAAGTTTTTATTCAGCATATTAAGAAAATAGAGTCAAAAGAGGGGGGATTATAAGTGAGGATATAGACACATTAGCAGATTTTGTAAAGACAAAAATAAAAGCCTAAAAAGGATTTTTGAGTAGAACAACAACTTCATGATATGAACATGACATGAACTAAAGGAGGGCTTAAGAATAAAATATGCAACAACACATATATGTTTCAAACATTCAGAGTTTTCATTGAATTATTTTTTAAAGAATGTTCCAGATTATATTGTAGTTACATGCATTGGTCACAAGAAATTATGAAAAAAAACCGCAACTGCTTTACAGATAAAATATAGAAAGTGCACTGTCTTTGAAGCATGAGTGTAACACTTTTCTTGAAAGTAGTTTCCATTAGTAAAATAATATACTTTATAGAAAGATGTTCATGATAAAAAATGAAACACCTTTCTTGCCAATGACAGATGTAGTCCATTTTCTACCATCCATCAATTAAAACAAATAGAGATAGAAGATGGTTTTATCTCTGAGAAAAAGTAAACTGATATATGGTTGTAGTATTCCACCCATGTAATTCATGAAGTGATAAATTATGACTGTCAGTGTTATCTTGGACTCAAATGGACAGTGTATCAGTCCAAAGTCTCTTGAGTTAACAGTTAACCCTATTTATCTGTAGGAATTAACAGATAATGATTATGATGACTGACAGCATTTTCCTACATATGAAATGGATTGATTCACATGTGATTACATATCTAATTGGAAAGAAAATTTTACTAAGATATAAGTTTTCAGAAAATATCTTTATGAGCTTACTAGAAAAATGTAGTATCTTTATTAGGACATCTTTCCCAATGGTGTCTCTGAGGAAATGAGTGCAGTCTCTTAGAAGGTACAATAATAAAACAAGAATTAAGATAAATGCATTTATGTAGCTTCACTATTTCTTATGGGTTTTCTTGAAATTTTCCCCTCAAGAATACATCTTTTAAATAAGAATTAGAATTAACTAGGTTTCGTAGATATCAAAATTGATTTTCATACATAGAATAAAATAATTGGTTTTGAAGATAAAGAAGTTCTCCAGATGTATTTTTTTTTTTTTGTAGTGAGCCTTGGTTTATTCAAAGTATGGTATTGTTAAAAAGAATACATTTGTATTTTGAGATTTATTTTTTCTTGTAGATAGCATTGCAATTTTATTTATTTAGGAATTTCAATCTTTAAGAGACCAAAATCTACCCATTCAGATGGATGAATTTTGGTATTTTTGACTGAGTGCTAATCAAACAGAGTAGAAGCATCTACCTGAAACAAAGGAAAAATTTGTGCACTGTTAACTAGTCACAAAGGCAAGATGTACTGAGTGAAAACTGAACAAGAAAATAAGTTCTTTGCTGCATTACAGTGTGTACAGTAAGCTTGTAGCAATTATTATATAGCCATCATACGGAAGTTTCTGAATTACAGTATATTGCTGATTTGTGTCTTGTTAATTTTCTAAGGACCAGTGTTAAAAGTAGGTATTAACATTGAACAGAATATTTTAATAAATTAATACTCTAATCAAATTTTACCAATAAAACTTTTACCCCATGCTGATTGGTTTATTTTCTAATCTGTTCTTGAAACTGTAGTTAAAATACTACATGATTGTGACTTTGGATTTAATACTAACATACTTTTATATTTGACATTTCTTCTTAAGTAAATAAATAGAAATAGATGACATTTTCATTATTAAGCCATCATAAATAAAAATGAGAAGTTTCATAAAATATTAGGAAAGAAAATAAGCTACTCTTATTTTAGGCTTTCAAGGCTGTTAGGTGAAATAAATGTATTTACTAATGAATGAGCCAACGCATTTACTGATGAGTAGTAGCTAATATTATATAGAATTTAATCATCTTTGAAATTGTTGCAAATTCTTTTTAAATTTCTTAATTTTTTCCTTTCTTGTGAAACATGCAATATGGGTTTTCTTGCAGTATACATTAAATTAGCATATGAATGGACATTTTAAAACATCCAATATTTTTTCTAAGAGAAAGTTGGTTGGTATTTTACAGCATGCTCATTTGCCATGTAGATTTGATTGTCTATTGAAAGTCATTTATTTATAAAGATGAATCACACTTTTGTAACTTCTAATTTATAGTTATTTGACTTCATACACAATGATATTTTTAATACGGGAGTACATAGAGAACTCTGTACAATGCTACTCCTTTATATCTCATTTCAAAAAGATTGTAAAATAGTTTACATTATAAATATCAACATGTTGTTGAATCATTTTATATTTCAGAGTACGTTTGGCATTTTTCTACTCCAAGTTTTTAGGTACTCTCTAAGTTTAAGTATAAAATGAACACTAAAAATGTCATCTGGTTATCAAAAATTCTGCCATACAGCCTTATGTATATACTTTAAATGTTAATTTAAGTAGTTGTGATCTTAGTCTAAGACATTGTAATCTTAGTGGAGAATATGGGCAAAAGCAAGTGTAAAAAGAAATGCTAATACACTATCTCACACATGTTAAACAAAGTGAAATCTTTATTGTAGGTACAAAAAAATGCAAGAAACATAAATGCTGTCCCACCACCAGGACAATCCTGTAAAGGGAATTCTGCGTTTTCTGCTTTACAGTGTTTGCTAGGGTAGGAATCAACCTAACTCTCAAAATCTTCCATGATATCATAAAGATTCCTCATGAACTTTCAAAAGAAAAATGTTATTTTTTGCTGAATGACTGATGACCTTTTTAAAATTTTACAGTGGGAAGAAATTAGTGGTTTGGATGAGAACTATACCCCGATACGAACATATCAGGTGTGCCAGGTCATGGAGCCCAACCAAAACAACTGGCTGCGGACTAACTGGATTTCGAAAGGCAATGCACAAAGGATTTTTGTAGAATTGAAATTCACCCTGAGGGATTGTAACAGTCTTCCTGGAGTACTGGGAACTTGCAAGGAAACCTTTAATTTGTACTATTATGAAACAGACTACGACACTGGCAGGAATATAAGAGAAAATCTCTATGTAAAAATAGACACCATTGCTGCAGATGAAAGTTTTACCCAAGGTGACCTTGGTGAAAGAAAGATGAAGCTTAACACTGAGGTGAGAGAGATTGGACCTTTGTCCAAAAAGGGATTCTATCTTGCCTTTCAGGACGTAGGGGCTTGCATAGCTTTGGTTTCTGTCAAAGTGTACTACAAGAAGTGCTGGTCCATTATTGAGAACTTAGCTATCTTTCCAGATACAGTGACCGGCTCAGAATTTTCCTCTTTAGTTGAGGTTCGAGGGACATGTGTCAGCAGTGCAGAGGAAGAGGCGGAAAACTCCCCCAGGATGCACTGCAGCGCAGAAGGAGAATGGTTAGTGCCCATTGGAAAATGTATCTGCAAAGCAGGCTACCAGCAAAAAGGGGACACTTGTGAACGTAAGTAATATGTACTATTAAAATTCTACTTTGCATTTTCTTCTATTTCAGTATCATTTTAAGTAATTATTTGAACAAGTCACTCTATTCCATAGCAGCAGCCCAATTCGGTAGATCTTAAAGTCACTATTGAATTTCCCGATTGCCTACAGTAGTATCTGAACTAAGTTGCATGCAGTAAGTATTGGTGATAATGATATTTGTGGCTAAAAGTTAATTTGTCATATGCTTAACATGGAAGTCCACAGTTGCATGTCGGGCTATGGAATTTAAGAGATGTGATGGGCAGGTAGACTTCTGCCTGGGATGATATAGGTGGCATTAATCAGGATTTAATGACATGCAATCCCTCCTGTTTTTAAACCCATATTATCTGAGTCTGTAAGTTGCAGAAAACAGGAAATTAAGGAAACTGCTAATAAGAACTCTGCAGATAAGCAGGGCATAAACAAATGCATTTTACAAACTTAGAATGATATTTCATAAAGAGTAAAATTTTGATACATGATCATCAAATTTCAATTAATAAATAACTGTGGATATTTTTTTCTACAACTGTAATTCTTTTATGAACTAAATAATAAGTGCTTTTCGGATCATTCATGTTAAAATGGACCACATTTTTGTGGAAATTGGCCAAAGTAAAATTTTACTTATCACAGTATATCTAGGGGACATTTTCTATTTGTCCTGAAATAGTAATAGTATATGAACTAGTAAACCTTTTTATTGTTTTGTAAAACTGGATTTTTCTCTTACAGAGTAATAGGTACTCAGATAATCAGCCAGTATTCTTCTCTTAAAAACTATGTCACAGGGACTGTCATAATTGATACTTTTCTGCTCAGAGGTATCCTGAAAAATATCTTACACTGAAATTACATCATTTATGTGTCTTTAAACTTATAAATCACAATAATTAAAAAATAATTTTATGTATTATTTGTGCTCTTAAGCCAGTATCATAAACTTGCAATTTCTAGCCAAGTTAGAGGGGATTACACCTATTAATAATGACTATTACAACATTTTCTTGATAACTTACTGTGTACTGTTAGTCTTCTATGTGCTTTACATACACTAGCTTGTCCATTGAGAGAGGATATCATTATCATTTCTGTTTTATAGAATAGTAAATGGGCTGTCAAGGCCAAATAGATTGCTTATAGTCACTTTAGTAATATTTGCATTAGCTTCAATTCAAATTTAGAGCATCTGACTCCAGAGTCTGGCCTTTTATATTGCCCTAGTTTTTATCATGAGGCAAGGAGAATCCTAACAGATATGCAGTTTCACTGCTGGTCTTACATACCTTGCTCATATATGTTTAGTGTCTCTGTATATTCTATATAAATTATATCACTTACATATTTGATGTTCCATACGTTATGTATAAATTATATTACTCTCCTATGAAATTCTCATTCTTGTAGTATATTTTCAAAGTAAGTAATAATTTAGAAATATTTAGATCTGTGCTGTCAATACAGTAGCCAACAGCCACATGTAGCTCTTTAGGGTTGGAAAAGTGGCAACTCTAAATTCAGATGTGAGTGTAAATTACAAACTAGATGTCAAAAGCATAGTCTTCAGAAAAATGTAACATTAATTTAAAAATGTTATACTGTTTAAGTGTTAATACATATGAATATTTATAATATATTGAAATTATAATATTTTTAGAAATATTGGGTTAAACAGAATGTATTATTAAAATGAATTCCAACCGTTTCTTTTTACTCATTTTTACTATGGCTACTAGGTATTTAAAAATTAACTTTTGTAGCTCACATTGTATTTCTGTGGATACACTTTTCTGAAAGAGTGAGCAAATATATTTTTCTGACATGCTTAAAGAATTATATACTTACTGTGGATGGTCGCTAAGCATTTCAAGTACCTATAATCCAGTGCTCAATTATCATCTACACCATAGCTGACATTGCGAAGTGAGCTTTGAGTAGAACGAATGGAGATGCTTTAGGTTCAGGTCCCATAGGCCAGTTTAGCAGCCTCCTTTTATATCCCCTGAAGGAGTCAAACCTGTCTCCCTCTGTCTTCTTCATCCTTCACTGGCATTTCTAAAAGAGTATAAAATTTTGTAGATTGCACCACAGGTGAAAATTGAAAAGCTTTATTATTCCATACTAGGCAGAATGCAATTCCACTAAGTATAGAAATATTCTTAGTGACCTAATCAGTTCAAGGAAAGACTTTTTTTTTTATTAGAAGTTAACAACAGTTACTTGAAAGTGATGGTAGATTCAGCAGTAACTATTATAAAAATAAAATTCAAGAACACTATTACATTTCAGCACTAAAACCAGTAATTTTTAACATTATGCAGATCTTAACTCGTGTGGAAGCGAAATCTAAAAGTTTTGCATAAATAAAAGTGAAACACATAACAAATACAGCAGACATATATATAAAAGTGCACTATTAAAGCTGAGAAAGGACTAGGGAATAACATTAAACGTCCTACTCTTCTAAGGTTTAAAGATTTTTTAAAAAATGAAAATATTTTTGTTTGTTTTGTGTATTTGACTCAAATGATTTCCACATATTTGTTAAGAAAATACAAGCAGGAACTGTTTGAAGTCTCTATTTCTAAGTATAGAATCTAGTTTAACAAAGAAAAAAACCTAATCTTTAATCACAATAAGCAGATATATTCACGATTAAGGAAAAATTCGATTTCTTCCAAATGAGCAAAAATCATTTCATTATGTTCGGTACTATTTAAATTGCTCATATTTATTTATTTTAGTTTCGAGATTTAAAATGTTTGAATAGTAAAATTATCACCACCTTCAAACTAGATACTTTAAAAAGTAAAGTTATACCATTATCATCTATATTCATTCTTTGAATAAGTGGAATTAAACATTAATAAGAAGAATTTAATGATTAAAGGAAGCAAGATGCTTCCTTATGATTCAACTGATAGAGTATATATACATTGTTCTAAGTCAAATAAATTGTTTATAGCATAACTTTCTTAAGTTTTAGCCTTAGCGATCTTGACAAAAGATTTAAATAACTTATACTTATCTATGAAACTATGTTCATTTGCAAAAACACTTCCTTGCTTGGCACAATTCCAATGCATTGCTGTAAGAGTACTTGCCTCTGGAATCTATCCAGACCTGTCTTTATAGTATTCCTCCTGTTTTCTTTCAGTGGTCCTGTTAAGGGTTTGAAAACAAATTCAAGTCCCATATTGAAGAAAATTAATGTGTTTGGGAGAGGATGCTAGTGAGTCCCTAGCCAAATAACGGTGGTTAGCCACTTAAAGGCAAGTTTATTTGGGCACTTTGTGGAGTGGTGGCTATTCCGATGTTTGCTGGAGGATAATATAAAATATGAATAAATATGAAAACCAATTACAGTTTTGATCAATTGATATAAAAGCTTTCTTTTTCAATCCTTTGGGGGAAAAGATAGCAATTTGAAAATCCACATATTTCTCAGGTCTTCTAATATTTAGAGAACTTCTGTCTAATTCTTAAATATATAATTTTTATGAAGATATCTCTTTATGTTCATTTTAAAACATATGGTTATAATTACTTACATTGTTCTATTTCATTTTCTAAATCTTACTGTATTTTAATCATTACTTCCTTAAGTGAGAAAGACAGATAGCACCTCCAACAGGGTTTTGACACCATGATCAATCCGCAGTTTCAGCCAGCCCCAGATTGTGGGCATGTGCTTGCCCAGCATACTCAGGGAGGTCTTGGGACACAAACTCAGAACCTAATCATGTAGGTGAACTTGCAGTGCTTAGTTTTTTATTTCTGCACCAATGTCCAGCTCCAGCATGCTTCTATTTCAAAAGTCCTCTTTAAAAAACTCACCCTATTATTAGGATAACAACTTTACAAACTAGCCAATGTATTTTCTTTAAAACGTGTAGTTATTTTAAAACTTGAGAGAACATTGCTTTTTACATACACAGCTATTCAGGGAAGATGAGTAACGTTGTATACTGGAATGTATTTTGAATTTTTGTAGCTTCTGTACAGTTTGTTTTCCCATTTAGAAAGTAGAATAGTGTTTGTCAACATGTGGAGCTAGGTATTATAACTTGGTTTTGCAGAGGAAATTTGCAGTTTACACTGACCAAAGAAGCTCATTTTCTTATTTAATCTTTACCGTCTCACTAGGATGGGAAAGTATCATTCTTTTTTCGCTCTCTCCTTTAACATATAAAAATGGAAGCTCAGATATTTTAAGTAACAAAATTGGATGAGAATCTAGAATCCTTGTTACCAGTTCTTATTCTGCCGCTATACCATACTGCTTCCCTAAAAGTATTCAAGACTTCAACCAGCAGATTTCAAGGACTGAAGAACTAATAAAACTTTATTCTTAGTCAAATGACCATATGCCCAGTTTGCTTGGCACAGTTATTTCACTTATTAACACTGACTCTTTGTTTTAAGAAGTATTCTTTCTGATTTAGATCATAAAATATATGATTGCCCTAACTGTAGAAAATTCAAAGATGTAATGAAACTTACATACACATGTATCAGAAAATAGAAAAGTGATTTGCTTGCATTATTTACATTTTTAATTTATATGTTCTGAAAAGAAAGATTTAGAAATTACTTTTTGATTTTTTTTGCAAAGGGGAATTTAAATGATTAAAGCTTTATAGTTGTTTTTATAAGAAATTTCTCATATTTGTTTCTTAATGATTTCTTTTAATAAGTTAACAGGTCTATTATTATTTTAATGATATATAATTTATGCACATGTATTATATATAGTTTATAACTTAAAACATACGTTCTATTTTATAGCATTAACATTTAAAGTATGTTTCTTTATTTGATTCTTGAAAACTGTGCTTTATGTTCACAGACATATAGCATGTCATTTATACCAACAATTTCCATGATAATAAATGAGTCCTTAAAATATATAGTATTTATAATAAAACATATACAAAAATGTAAGATATATTATAGAGTTAATAGCTCAGAATC